AGCAGAAAAAAATATTTTTAAATTATTTGAATATTGAAATTATATTCATTTAGGTTTAGATGCCTACATGGAACACTAATCATGATGTTTGATTTTTACATTGTTTAATATGTTAGATGACACATTTTGGACATGATGCATAAGTGGTGTTATTTCTATTTTTTAAGATTTTTTATAATTTATTAATAATTTTTTGGGCCTTCTATCAATTATTTTTGTGTATCAACAGATAACATACCGCGACACCACGACCATTGTGTATTAATGCCTTTCAAGTCGATGGCCAAGACCGCGACCTTGAACCATGATTCTCCCTTTGGAAAGATGGTTGGGAAGTAGAAAAAAAAGACTCCAAAGTCACAAAAGCTAACATTCATGATAACATATATCTTTTGAGACTAGGGATGATACCACTTATATCCTTCTTGGGTGGGAGAATAACCAACAAAAACACACTGCAAAGCTTTAGGATCAAGTTTCCCCCTGTATGATTTGCAATTATGCACAAAATAAACATAGTCAAAAACTTTAAGAGGAAGGGAAGAAATAGAAAGAATTGAAAAAATCTAAAAAATACACTCAATAAGTGACTTAAATTGAAGAAAATTTGATGGTATATAATTAATAACATAAGCAAAAATAAGAACCGCATCAGTCCAAAAATACTAAGAAACATTCATAGTAAACCTCAATGAACGGGTAACCTCAAGAAGATGGCGGTTTTTACACTCAACAACACCATTTTGTTCTAAGCAAGGATCAAAATGTCGTGTCGACACATCCGAAACGTCCGAAACGTTTCGGAATTTCAACACTCCGAAACGAAACAGTAGTTGAATCACAAAATTTCAGTGTTTCGGTTGAAACGGTACTGTTTCAGACCGTTTTGGTCGAAACGGCATTGTTTCGGACCGTTTCGACAAAACAGTGATATATTCGGTTTATTATGAATAATTACATTTAATACCCCATTATAATTACATTTAATACCCACTGTAATTACATTTAATACTCACTATAATTATATTTAATATTCCACTATAATTACATTTAATTCCCACTGCTCTTCTGTCTTTTATAATTTTTTTGTTATAAGAATAAATAATTAAACTTAATACCCTACTATAATTATATTTAATACCCATTATAATTATATTTAATACCTACTGTAATTATATTTAATACCTTACTGCTGTGCAAGTTTTTTGCTTTTTTTTTTGTTATAAGTATTAACAATTACATTTAATACCCTAATGTAATTATATTTAATACCTACTGTAATTACATTTAATACCCACTGCAATTACATTTAATTTTTAAGTATACATGAGTATCATTAATTTAATTTGATACCCATCATTATTAGTATTATAATAAAATAGTATTATTAATTGGATAATATTACCGTAATAATATGATTTGGAGTAACTATTGTCATCATATTTATGTCACATATGGAGTTTCTCTAAGTAACTATCCAAAGCTTACACCGATGTATGAGCCTGCTCGACACTCCACAGGGGGATGGATGTAACCATGTAAGTATGTACTCATTAGCATTTCATGTGTATTATAATACCTTAATATTATGTAAAAATGTGTTTATTTCATAAAAATTAAGTGTTTGAAACTAATTTAAGTGACTTTCGCCTCATGTCAAGCCTTTTTTTCCCTCAAATTTAAATTTATTCTTGTATAAATTGATGTTAACCTAATAAATATATTGAATTAATCAATTATTTAGCATATTTTTATAAATTAATGGATTGTATTTGTGTTTCTATGCGTTTCTATATTTTTTCTGCGTTTCCATTGCGTTTCCGAAATGTTTCCGAAGCGTTTCCGAAACGTTTCTATTTTTGAGTTGACCGAAACGGTACTTCGAAACGAAATTTTGATCCTTGGTTCTAAGGTACTCACACAAGTGATTTGATAAAGAATATCACTCTCATTGAGGTATGAGCAAAATTCTCCATCAATGTACTCAATTCTATTATCAATTCGAAGAATTTTGATTTTGGCATCAAACTAGTTACCCACCATTTTATGAAAGGATCAAAAATAAGAGAAAACTTTATTTTTAGTGCGTAGTAAGTAAACCCAAGTAAGACGAGAATAACCATCAATATAAGCGACAAACCAACGATAACTTGAGGGAGAGGCAACACGAGAAGGTTCCCCTACATCAGAATAAATAATGATAAAATGAGCAGTATTTTTATTACCAATACTAGGATAAGATAAATGACTGTGCTTCGCAAATTCACAAGCATCACAAACAAAAAATTGTTTATTACACATCTTCACTAAACTAAGAAAAACATTCTCTAAGACACTAAATGAAGGATGCCTCAAAAGCCTATATCACTGGTTTAAGAGGTGAAGGATCGAAACACCATCGGCCTAGATAGCTTGGCCGGGAGAAGCTTCCACATTCAAAAAATATAAACCACCATGTGCTCTACCACTCCCAGTATCGTTTTCCAAAACTCCAATTCTTGAAAGATACAATGGATAGGGAAAAACATTTGCCTAACTTGAAGGATCGAAACCACCATCTGCCTAATAGAGGATTGCATTGAATTAAGCAACCAAGACATACTAGGCTTCTTAGTCTCCCCAGTCAAGTACTCATCTAAAGACATAGTTTGGATTGATGACAAACAAGCCGATGATCATACCAATTAATTGTTCTCATCCAACTTCTCTAGACTAATTTGAAGAGAGGGGTCATTTGGAAGAGCACATAAACGACTCAACCCACTTCCCCTAGTACTTCCTATGATACCGATAAGAGTCAAACTCCCTCCTGACATGTCCACACAATAGGATTAAAACAAAAATAGTAGCAAATCACAATCCAAGAAGTGGGCCACAACCAGAAAATACCTCAACCAACACCAATTAGTGTTAAAAAAATTCAGAAGCACAAATCCAATGCAAAAGGACCTTCCCGAAACTTGAACGGTGGCCAAACAATGTCAAAATTGGCAAGAAATTCTCACAAATCCAAGCCAAAAGCAACCAAACTACTTGGGCATCATAGAAAGCCCTAGTTGCACCTCACCAAAAGGATTCGACCCAAAACCAGCCCTTTAAGTGCTAAAAAAATCGTAGATCGCAAGTCGAACCCCCAAAAAATTGAAAAACTTTCAAAAAATCAAATGACTAGTCAAGCAGCCTCAAAAAAATCAACAAAAATAAAAATAAATCTAAGGAGGATGAGTGACATCACACAACTCAAAAGGCATATAATTGCCGAAATTTCTAAAATATATCTCCCTATCATTTATTAAAAATATCACTCTATATATAGAGTTCTAAGTACTCCTAATCCTAAAAGATTAGGATTCTAAAGTCTCTAAGATTTTAAAAACTCTAAATCACTAAAAATTAGAAAACTAAACAAACTACAACTAGAACTCTAAATTCTAGTACATTCAACACTAAAATTTTACCCAAAATACGACCCATGGGTTGGACTATGACCCATTCCAACAATTCTAAAAAATTACAAAAATATCCTTGAGTCTAAAAACTATTAAAATGACATATAAAATACTAATACTATCAAAGTGATTCAAAATACAATAATGTAAGGTTCCATATGAATCTTTGTCTTGATGGAAAGTTGATTCTATTGTTTTTCACATCTTCAAATTTGCATTTCCTTGGACATCTTATGGACTGTATCAATTAGTCTAATCAACCATGTGAGTTTTGAAATTCTCTAACGAGTTGGATGTTGACGTCAGCATGTCAAATGCTAACAGTAAACCACTGTTGAATACAAAAGTGGTTTTTCAATGAATTTGACAACTTTGAACCTTTAGATCTTGATCAATGCTCTGATACCATGTTTTATTATAAAGTAATTAGGGTTTGGAGAAGGAGAAGAGAAGAAGAAAAGAAACAAGATTATAAGAAGAGTGTAGTCTGTATTAGGTTACACAACTACATCCCAATTTATGTATAACTACAAAGTACCAAAAAAACCATTATGCTAGAAATCCATTACAAAATAACACAAATCACTCCATCAAAAAGTGAATCTAATCACTATCTCAATCTCTACACTTAAACAAAACTCTAGATCTCTCAAAGGATCACTGTGAATATAGCTAGTGAGGAGTAATGTAGAATGTTTTTGGGTAGGTTTGTTGGAGTTTTGGGAATGGAAAACAAAAGTTTTGTGGTAATGCTTTAAAATGTTGTAATGGAACTAGAGAGATGGTGTTTGAACTCTCTTCTCCTTCATTACCATCTTTCCTTGGGTTTTTGCCTTCAATACTTTCATCCAAAACCATTCTAACCACTTTCGCAACTCTTAAAATCCATATTCAACAGACAAATCACTCTATCAAAAAGTCAACCCTCAAACTAAAGTTATTATTCTCTATTTCCATTCAAAATATTCTAAAGCATTACCAAAACTCCAACTAACCTACTCCAAAATTTTCTAACAAAAAAATCACTAGCTATACTTATAGTAATCGTTTACTAGATCCATAGTTTATTTTAAGCACAGAGATTGAGATAATGGTTAGGTTATTGGCTAGCCTCGGAAACCTTAAACAAATCCTTGTAAGGGCCTTGCTTTGGTGGGCCAGTGGATTTACATCTTCTTAATCCAACAGAAAAATAGGGCACCCAATACCGAACCAAACCGACTAGCTATGGGGACTAAGCGAGTCGAATGCTACTGCAGAACAGAGATTCTACTTTGAGCTTCACCAGATCAATCCTTGATTGTTTAAGTGCTTTCATCACTCACGCATTATATAAAATGAGGTTAAAAGAAAAAGTGAGTTGAAGTGCTGTGATGACTAGAATAACTTAAGAAATTTGGCCAAAAGGACCAATATTTAGTGGTCCCATTTCAAACCTCCCCACCCCTCTCCGGGAAAAAAAAAACTCATATTTGGAAATCCTATACACAACATTCATTTCAGATGATGTCCCTGAGTGTGATTTGACATTAGCAATTAAACTGGCTATGATTAACTGAAGTGAAGACATCTTTTAAGTAATGAATTGAAAGCTATTAGAACACATATAGATGAGAATCTCATTATATTGCATGGCCTTACAGGGATTATTTCAAGGTTGTTTTCCAAGGCCAAGTAAACGTTAGCCAGCGTCTGAGCTTCTACTCCCTGCAAGATAACGTCAAACAAAATTCACTGTTGCCAGGACATGTTTGCTAGAAATAAAAATCTTAGCAATGTCATCTGCACAAAGATGGCTGCTGCAAAGGCACAGTTAACATCACCACTTGCACAATCAGAACTACATCTATGAGACTAAAGGGCATGATAAATAATGGTATCAGTTACAAGATAACCAGATGTAGGAAGGAAAGATCAAATTACCTGAGAGGAATCTACAACAAGAAGAGCACCCTCACAAGCAGCAAGTGAACGAGAAACCTGGAATTGTTAAAACAGTGCATCATAATGCCAGATCAATAGCTGCAGACATTTGTAATTACTAAAATCTTTTTCTGCATATACTGCTAAACATCTATAGAAAACTGCGGACAAACTAGAGCATGTGCCAATTCGCAATAAAAGTATTACAAAGGTCATCCTCTTGGACTACAAAGCATGGATATGGATCCAGGACGTCTATACAACACAACGCCGACATGCGGACACGACATTTCTCACAAAAGTGGGGCACATACGCCTTAGGGACATGCTATAAATGATATGCATATAGTTGAAACTTGAATAATGGAATATTCGGGTTTAGGAAAGAGGAAAGAAATTGAAGGACAAGAAGAGAGAAATTGAGATTATGGAACAATATTATGAATAGGATGTGTGTTTCCAACAACCTATCACCTATTGATCCTATATTGATATTGAAGACAATTACAATATTAGGAAAGTAGAAAATAATAGCAAAGTAAATCTCTAACAATAGGAAAGTAAATCTCCAATACTCCCCCAAGCTTGAGCATAGAGATCAAAAATGTCCAGCTTTAAACAAAGATTACTAAAGGTGGACCGTGCCAATGATTTGGCAAAACTATCACCAAATTGATCACCACACTTTTCATAAGAGGTGCTAATCTCTTTTTGTATAAGAGATCCTAAATAAAATGACAATCTACTTCAATGTATTTGGATACTGAATTATAGGCAATAATAATGGCAGCTTGGTTGTTACAATGCATCTACATAGGAGACTGCACATCAACAACCATCTCACGAAGTAGAAAGTGAACCCATAACATCTCATATGTGGTATAAGCCATGGCGCAATATTCGACCTCCGCACTACAGTGAGCCACCATATTTTGTTTTTTATTGCAACAAGTAACAAAATATCATCAACAAATATACAACAACCAGAAGTAGAGCGTGTATCAACACCACTGCTCTCCTAGTTAGCATCAGAAAATTCAATAATAGTTAAGGAGAAAGATTACCGATATTACAATCCTCTAGTTGGAGCTCCTCTCAAATACTAAAGACTACGAAAGACAGCTTCTCAATAAAGTTTTTGAAGAGTATGCACGTGTAACTGTGAGACAAATTAGTTTCCCAATCAATCTCCGGTAATGCCCAGTGTCCTCAAAAACATCGTCACTTTTAGTATCCAATTTAACTGTTAGATCCATTGTGGAATCAGCTGGTCATGCACCACAAATCAAAATTTTATTTCGATGCATAGTTTCGGTAGGCTTGAAAATAGGAACGTATCAGAAATATTTCATAAACAAGATGAAAACAACGAAAAAATTTAAAAATTTATTTTTGAAACATTGGTTGAAACAACCGAAACATAAGAATTTTGATATTTAATCAATGATTCGTTTTGATTTCTATAGAAACGAAAAAGTTTTGAATGTTTCCAAATGAAATTTAACTCCTTGTTGTGCACTAAGGATACCAGTTTCAGAGAATAAATCAAACACATACTTCCAATGTCACAAACTAATACCTTCCTTCAATCCGGCTAGTTCAAGGCCAAGAAAGTGTTGTAGAACTATCTTCCAAGATAGGTCTTAAAATGGGCAATACCATCTGAGTCATTGTCACTAATAATAACAGCAACATAGACAATGAGAACAATGACGCATGTGGTGGATTTGCGTGTAAACATAGAGGGCTCATTTGGATACCACCTTAGAAAAAAGAGATTGGATTATGCATATAGGCTAATTCTTGTACGGGAGAATAAAACATAAGATTAAATGGGGACATGAATACTATCAATTTTAATCCAATGTTTGGAATGCGCAAGACTAAGAGTTGGATTATAGATACCAATCCTTTCTTGTGTTTGGGTAGGTCATATATCTCATGGTATCAATATTTGGTTGGCTAAAATGCCCTCAATCCACTCTAATATATTATTTTGCATACACCAATTAAAATATAGGAGTATCTTTTGGATCTACATAAAACTGTCTTACAAGCAGCTTTTTTAATATAAAATTAACCAAAAGTCAGGGTGTCTAAATTATTTTCACATAAATAAATAAAAAGGGATGCAGACATGAATTTTTATAGTTTATGGGGGATAAAATAGTAAATAATAATAAAATACATCTTTGCTATATTACAATACCACCTCCCCAAGTGGTATTAAAATTGGCTCAATAGTGCATGTAGATGGTGTTAAAAGTTTATATATAGTACATGAACTTGATATAATCCTATATGTAATACGGAGTACTTTTTTGCATCCAAACATAGTATAAACTCAAATTGGGGAGTTTGAGGCCAATATGCCTCTTTAATCCCCTCCATAATACATCAACCAAACAAGCCCAGAGTGATCTGAATTAAAGCACTAAAAGTCACACTGAAGTACAACTAAACTAAATTTATCAAACCAAGTACGTGATGATTGATTCAGGCCATAAAAAGCTTTATTCAACCTACATACTATTTTTTTCTTCCTAAAAACAAAATATCCTAGTGGTTGAATCATATATACTTCCTCGTGTAAATCTGCGTAAACAAGTATTCTTTACATCCAGTTAATATAAAGATCAATCTAAACTTATTGCAACCGAAAGTAAAACTTTAACAGAGTTAAACTAAGCAACATGGAAAAGGTCTCTCAATAATCCACACCATATGCCTGATTGTAGCTCTTGGCAACAAACTGCGCTTTTGAACGCTCAATAAAACCATCGAGAAGATACTTCACAGTATATACGCACCGACAACTAACAGATTGCTTACTGGAGATAATGGAGCAAGGTCCCACATCAGATTCTTATGAAAAGCTTTCATTTCTTTATCCATAGCCAATTTCTATCCAAGAAATGACAAGACCCTTTTAAAAGAGAGCTAGGAACAGACACGGAAGATAATTAGGAAGCAAAACAATGAAAAGATGGGAAAAGCAGATAAAATGAGAAAAAAAAAACAACAAATATGATGTTGTGTACAACTACGAGTACATTTTCATAATGCAATGAGTATTTCAGAAGATGTTAGTCACAGATGGCTCAAGAGGCTAGATCTTGGTAAAATTCGGTCTTGGCTATCCTTGGAGCAACTAGAATAGTAGGCAATAAAAACTCCCCCAACTCCTAACAAATATGCAGCAAGGTTATGGCCCAATATAGAAAAGAAGGGACTCAAAGAATATAATATCAGCAATGACATGACATAGTAGTGACCAAAGATGGGCTTATAACACGATCGGTGCGAGAAAATCCTTTTGAGTGCAAGAAAATCCCAAAAAGATATACTTGACAAAGCAAGCTGATAGTATATGCTGGCCACAACCAAGTAGATAGACAAAGTCAACACAACCAATGACATGAGGGGTTAAACTAAATGGCAGTGTCTTAGGATATAACAAGAAGAGAGGAAACTTGTTCAAAATGGGGGAAGGCATGGAATTAATAAGCTTAATTGAAATAAGAACAGTATCATCCCAATATGATTTTGGCACATACATGTTAAACATCAAGATGCAGACAATATCCAACAGATGGCAAAGTTCACGTTCAACAACAGATGGATAATGTCACGGTCAACACAAAAGATTTCATAAATGATTGAATACACTCAAGTGCATTATCTGACCAAATAACTTTAATACATAAATTAAATTGAACCAAAATTTCATTGTAAAAAGTAACAAAAATCAAAGATTAAAAAATACTGAAAACCAAAAATACTTTTAACTCTTGCAAGATCCCAAATGTCTAAATGAACAATAATGAAAAAAAGTAGACTGATGACTTTAAGAACTAAAAGGAAAAGGACTGTCAATAAGGTTTCGAACCCTTGCGATGCACCTTTCTCTGTAAGCCTAGAATTAGGTCAAGCAGTAAGAAACCCCATATCCGTTTCGTGTTCTTTTTATGATATTGTTTTCTAAGAATGGACAGGTTAGGGGCATGTGTCTGTGATATGCGATACCCGATAGTACAGTGACGCTTGCCTAATTGACAAGTCTCACATTCTAACACTAAAGAACAACTCAAACCAAGGATAACTTGACACAACTTCTACAAGGAATGATGGCCCCAATTGAGAGTGTCATTAGAGAGGAGACACATTAGCACTCAAGGAAGGAACAGAACCTCTGTGATCCAAGTAGTAAAGGTGATTGATCTCATGCCCTAAACTAATCACCTCTTCGTCTTACAGTCCTAAAAAATAAAAGATGGACAAAAGATTACTGAATACTATAAGGACTTAGTTAACTAAGTCATAGATAACAAGTTAAAGGAGAATTAAAAAATAAACTAAAGGCTAATGGCATAGACTAAATACAACAAAGATTGTCAGTCTCATATATTGGTCGAAAAGAATCATTAACTAACATAATACCGAAATTAGACGAAGAAAAATTAGAGAATAGAGAAAAAATACTAGGCATATGAGCCCTAGCTCATGAATCAATGACCCAAAAAGACGAAGAAGGTTGGGTAGTCACACATGTAATGTTAAACCCATTAGTAAAACCAATGGAAGGAGTAGACAAATGTGGAAAAAATGAATTGGATGAGCTCACTAAGCTAAGAAGAAATATCGACAAGGTAGCAAGAAATAGATGCAACTGAACCATTGGTAGAAGTTTGATGCACTTGAGCAACTTAGTTGGTAAACCCACTGTGTAGAAAAACCCTCTAATAGACAAGAAACCTTACAAATCAACCCAAACTAGCATGAGTTATCTAAAGCAACACCAACAATGTCTAGTTAGAGCCTTTGGGCCCAAATAGAGGCAATAAAAACAGCAATATTATGCAAAACTAGGCGATCAAAAGATCAGGACCAATTTTTTGACAAATCATTAAAAAATAAAAACCCACTGAAAAAATTTGAAAACAATTGATCAAAAGTCACCATAAATACTATCACCAAATTTCAATCCTAAACATGGTGCTGGTTGTCGAAAAAATGTGACGTTATGCAAACGTCAACATGACATTAGTCAATTGAAGATGACTGCAGCAATTGAAAAATGATGAGTTTCTGCCTAGAGGTTTGTTGTATGTTTTTGATACAATTCTGCTTTAGATCAATGCTCTGACACCAAGTTGAGACTTGAAGAATGGAATATATGGTGTAGGAAAGAAAAAGAAAGAGAAAAAGAGAAAAAAAGAGAGAATATGGAACAATAATGAGTGGGATGTGTGTTGCCAACACTCTATCACCTATTTATATTTTTCTTTCGTCCTCGGACGTTCGAACCTTTTGTTTGATTCCGGCACTTGTGTTCTCATGCCCACGCTCACCTCCAACCCAAGGGCTCGGACCTTGGTAGGGGTGGAGTCGAGCTAGCCTAGATATTGTCTTTCAATCCTTTTCTGATAAACAATACTACTCATAACGAAAAAGAGAGAGATTTATTTACAAACAGATATCGTTTAACCAGTTGCCCAATTGCCGATTAATTGCGCTGGAATAATATTAGGAGAGTAGAATATAATAGGAAAGTAAATCTTCAAGACTCCAACACTTATATATCAGCTTATGAAATATTTCACTATATACTAACATAATTATAGTACAATACAACATAAGAAAATAGCATTTCATAACAAGTATATCACATATCTAGTACTTTAATATCATTTTTCTGACTTGGTGACCATAGTAGTCAATGGTCTTTGATTTTAATACACTGAGAGTAATAAACATATATAATTACAAACTTTGACAGTCAATTGTTTACAAATCGCTGCTTTTATTAGCAAAATTCTAAGTGTAACTTTAACTTTGGTAGTCTTCACAAAATATATCCTTCAGTAGTATAAAATAAGCATTTGTTAAATTTTTGAGTTTTGTCGATTACAATCCAACACATGTTTATATTTTAATCATAGATACGGCCTAAAAAAGAGCTGCACCACTAAAAGAATATTGGATACATGTTCAAAAGTGTCCGAGAAATGTGAGTAATCGACATGGTTATATCACCTTCTTAATAGTGTCCATGCTTCTTAGCTCTTAAATAAAACTTTGAAAGATAAACCAAAAAAAAAAACTTGCGACCATTCATTTTAGATGTGAAAATGACATTCACCCACAACAGTGTTCAAAATTAAGGCCTAAACTAGTATGGGGAAAAGTATCATATGAATTAGTACAACATTCAAGCAAAATTTAACTCGAGATGGATACAACACCTAACGTAATGTATAGGGAAGGTATGATGTGAATTAGTACAAAATCCAAGCAAAACTTAACTTGAGATTGATAAAACACCTAACAAATCCATCTACAAACCTCGTAAGAGAAGTCTACATGCCCTGGGGTATCAATAAGATTCAGGCAATATGGTTCATTTCCATACATGGTACGCATTCGAGCAGCCTGCAACAAAATCAACAACATTGAGCACTTTGGAAAAGATAAGCATGTCTTATTAAGATCACAATAAGAAGGCATCAGTCCTGTGTAAGAGTTCTTGATTGCTCATATCACTAACCTTTCACACTGGTACTCATCAACTAATCCTTTAACCTCATTTTTCTAGAACAAAGAAACAAAGACAAAAGTACTTATTTGACTAGAAGTGTAATGCTATGTGGACAAGATGCACCTACTTTGTGTAAGCCTAAAAAAGAGGAAAGACTAGCGGGCTATATTGTAAACACGAATAAGGCACCTATTAAGAATATTTGGGTGATAAAGCACTTCTTTTTGGGGCGGATCAAAGGAGGAGGGGAGTATCTAATGATCAAAATTTGTTTCGAAATGATTAAAATAATGGAAACGTTTTAGTTTTCTAAAGAGACCACCAAAATGAGACACTAATTGAATTGAATATTCCAATGCTTTAAGGGTGTTTCGAAATATTTTCAAGATGTTTTGGTGTGTGTCCAATGTTTTTAGTCGTTTCGAGATG